TGCCGAGAAAAATCAGACATTCCCTGTATAACCTATGGGATTGTCCAATGCCCAGTATCAAACGAACTTGACTGCCATAACGATCAACCCCTTTTCAGAAATAATAACGGCAAGAAAATTTCGGGCTCAACCTTTGTACAGGAAAACCTGTAAACTGAACAGTGACTTCCTTCCCTGAATGACATCACAGCAACAGTGCCCTCTGTGGTCCGGAAATGCATGAGCAAGCTTAAATATTCAAAAGTGCACTTTTCAATACATATCAGCTTAAAGGGCTGTCAAATAGTTTTCCTACATAGGAAAAGAAAATAACAGTGCGCAAAAAGTGTATCTGAAACAAATCTATTGCATGTACTCTTTAAGGAATCTCCGGTTTCCTTCAGAGAGAAAAAAATCATCGTAGATCGTCGAAATGATGAGATTACATATCAGTCTCTGAGGTGTGAGAGAGACGAGTCGAAAGATCCATTCATTGCTCTTTACTACGTGACTACATCCATCTCAAAAGACATTCATTAGTCTTCCCAGCTCTGCAAAGGTAAATGCATTCTTGGCTTAACACTATCTGCTTTCCAAGCAGACCTTCTAGATAAAGGAAAGAGTGTCATTTTTCCATTATACGGCATTATTCAAACACCCATTCTGACAAAACATTTTTGTAATGTAAAATTACAAAACAAACAGATTTACTCTATGAGGCACGTCTTTAATCATAATCATAATTTGATCAATATTCCCTGCCCCTTCTTTGGTTGCGAGCAACGCTCCCATCAGACGACACAAATCAAAATTGATAAAAGTTGGCGCGCGAAGTGGAGATCGAAACAATTTGCGAGTTTCCGGCGAGTGACCCGCCGAACAGCGCTCGCTTCTAACCGGCGAGTCATCGCAGTATATTGAAAGCAATCCCCGTGTTAGACATGGCTGTGACACTCTTTAGCTACCGTTTAAGACCGGTAAACATGGAATCCAGCTCGGTTCGATCGTTTGCCAGTTTTTTTTTTCTTTCCTCCTCTTCTTCTTCTTCGACTCTCTTGTTTTGCACAGATCGAAGCTGCCTCACTTTACTCAACCGGGGAGAGCGACGCGGTGGACGAGTGCCGGTGCATACTAATGAGAGGAACTGGGTAGCCTCTGCGCGGCCCCACGGGGGAGTACGCCGCGCAGTAATGCTTCACCTAAGGCTAAAAGAAGCCACACCAAGTTAAAAAAAAAAGAGACGAAAAACGAGACGAAGAGGACAGCGTAAGAGAATGTACATGTACGTGGCACGCTTTCGATCCCCCCTCGGCTCAGATAGATTTACAAAGTTTCATCCAGTTGAAGCCAGCAGTTTTTGGACTGATGTCGAATCGATGTCTTGCTGGCCGACGCGCAGCATTCCTGTCTTCTCTTTTACCGCCTTTCTCTCCTTTCATTAATTCCTACAGGTAGACAAACAAAGTCGAGCCGCGAGAAAAACCATTTTCGGTCCCCTCCCCCCAGCGATTTTCTCCGGAGTTCTTCCCCTCGGGATGACCGGCCCGGCGACCAAAAAACACACGTCGAACATTTCTCTGTGGCAATTAAGGGAGCGAGCGAGCTGCTCCGAAAAGACCGACCGGAAGCGGCCCATCAAGTCGGCCCCAAGATCGCAACCATTTTTCCGGTGATCTTAATCCCAAATGAGGGCAGCACCGCGGCTGGACCTCACGCGCCACTGGCAGGGGGCCCATGTCCCAGCGCCTGACCTAAATTGGGACCATTACGCGCCGTACATTAAACATCGTAGCGCTTTTCTCAAGGGATAACCGCTTCAGTCGCCTCTTCTCTTCACGTTGGTTGAGTTTCTTCTCTTTCTCTGAACGCTTTCAGAATCGACTTGTGATCGAACTTTACATACACGTGACTGTTTTACCTGCTTGGACAAATACGCACAAACTCCTAATGGATGGCCATGTTTTTAGTCATAACAGGAGATTGCACACATTGTACACAGTATAAATAACCCCACTTCACTTTTTAGCACAAAAATTTCTCTGCATTTCGCTAGCTAATTCTGGTGTCTACTAAAATTTCTGTTTACATGTGACCGGCTGGTTGGGTAATGACACCCTTTCTAAGCTTACCTTGTAAAACCATAGGCATAGGTTGATTTCCTGGTATCATTAAAGGCAATGGGCTGTATCAGACGTCTCATAAACGGTTTTGGCCTATTCACCTCATTGGCGAGTCGGCCATCTCGTATCGAAAGTAAAGCCACCCGCATATAATCTCGACATCAAACGAGTTGAACTGGAGATTCTATAAAAGAGGTAAATAAAAAAAAAGTCGACGTCGTTTGACCCTCGAGCGTTTTTACCATGAAATTCAATTTTTAATTTTTTTTATGTCTACTTTTCTTAATCTTCAATCACAACGGAATTGTAGAGAACCTTCCAGTGCAGAACGCACCTTGGATAAAACAGATTTGAGAAACACAACCCAACATGGCCGCCGAATGAATGTGACTGTGTCATGCGCGCCGCTGTGACAGATAATCGCTCGCTCTTCCAGGAAGGTACATAGACAGGGAGGTATAGCATCGTGAGGGGGGGCTGTGGGTATTTGATCAGTTAGCGCCTGAATGAAAGGTTCGAAAGGCAGTTAGCTCTTACATTGCACTTTGGAAAACGACATGAGCACCCCATTATACGGGCGACCTCATGGAGTCATCTCCACTACCAACGTACACTGTCGCTTATAGTTGCCATACTCGGCGCTTCAGACCACAATTGAGCAAATCTCTCGCTCAGTAAATTCACCATTCGACTGGCCAGGATAAGAGAGAATAACGGTTGAAAATTCCCCCTTGTCGTTTTAACGATGAAGTAGGTATCCGGCATCCTCGAGTGAGACACCACTTGCCGCAAGAATCCTTTTCTTACAACCAAAACAACTAGGGGCGTAAACGACGGCTTAGTTGGCGAGGGTTTAATACCGGGACCTCATTGTATGGCAGCACACAGTGGGCTCGGTCATAGTTTCACGGCAACACAAGTCTTTCGATTTTGTCTCCTCCATGCCTGCCCCCTTCCCAGCTCCCACACACGCACCACCCACACTACCATCACTACCACCCAGCTTCGCCTCTGCCAAGCACTCACTTTGAAATTTGAAATGACTTCACCGAAGTCTTTCGATTCACTGTACACGCACAAATGCATTTTGTTTTTTAATGTCATGTATCCTTTTTGGGGAGTGGTGATCAGTTGCCAAAGATAATCCTGTCAGTGAGAAATGAGAAAACCTAGAAATCCTTGGACCCCCTTTTGGTTGAGGGTACCAAGGTCCCTGGCTCATCTACCCTGTCGTACTCACAACAGACAAGGGGGAAACATCGTTTCAATAAAGACGACATGCCATATGAAAGCCCAAGTCCCGAGTCAAGGAACATGTTTTCTTTGTCCCATAGAAAGAAATTGCTCGTCGACCCCTCAAAATAGGGAGAAAAATTGAGACAGTTTTGTAAGAGAAGACTTTTTTAATAGCTGCAGAGCAACAATGCCCTTGTCCACGGTGCGCTCGTGTCGGCCGGTATCTGTTTACCGTCTTGCGTTGTGCCGGCCCCGGTCTCCTCTTTGCCCAAATCACGGTGCGAGTGCGCGCCCTGGCCCCCAAACTACAAATTAAATGGTCCCCGACAATGTCGGGACCACCGCTCACCCCCTGCACAATGGAGTGTAAACTTGGTGAAAACTGGGTGATACCAATGCGATTAATGGTCTCAGTCATCCGCCAACGTTTGCTCTCATACCGGAGAGGAGAGACCAAACGAGGGGGACGGAGACAGCTACCGAAACGCGAGAGCGTGCCCGACGCAGATAACGACAAAAGAATGAAGACTTGTACCCACAACATTATACCGAGAAAAAAAGGGGGCGCAGTAAATTATTGGTACACAAATACAGACTTATTAGCTGGCCGCAGTCCATTGAGCGTGCACTGCGCCAAAGAAACCATTTTTTTTCCCGCGGAAGTGTGCAAACACGCTTAAGTGGGGGAGATGTGGCCGTTTCAAAATGTCAGTGCGTTTGCTGAGTGCAGGGTGCACACCGCCTTTGTAGAACTGCGCTCGTTTTGAAAGGATACTGCCTAATAGAAATGTAATTAATCACGATTACATTAAGGCCTCTCTTTATACAAAAATCACTGCAATCTTTTTTCAATTTCTTGCTGATGCAACTGATTTATCGCGGATATCAGTCTTCCAAAAATCCTGATATCAAAGGTCCATTTTTGCATCACTTCCTTTCTGGCTAAATGAATGGAAAGTATCTAATCAATGAAGTAACTTAATATCACATAATACTCGAATACAACTAATAAATTTTGATTAATAATTAACGGATATATGCAAAGAGAAAGATAACAGCTTTGCTACCTGAGATCGCAAGCAATTGTGGGGCAGTAATGTAATTATATAATCATAAAGATAGGTATCTTCGACTAAGATACTCTATTGGATCAGGCCTTCCTGTTGGGCGCCTACCAGTGGATGACAAAGTCCGAGCAGAAGTAAACCAGATCTGAGTACAAGTAACTGTATGGGTGTAAAGCTTGAAGAAGGGAAATCGGCCAGGATCTTCTGGAGTTACATAACAAGACCTGACATGCTTTTGGAGACCGCAGTGACGAATAAATTCACTTATTTTGCACGTCCAAATTCTGGAATCACAATTTATATAGAAATTAACAACAGTGCTATATAATAAGAAAATTGGGTTCCTGGTATACCGTATTGGCACTTTGTTTTGGCCAGCTTGGGGCAATTAGAGGGTCATAACAGACAGAGAGATGAAAATCTATCGGTAAGAGAGAACTTTGACTTGGTTCATCTTACTGCTGTCTGAGGATTTTTTCTGTCCGAAGGACTTCATCGGACATCGTTTGGCTTCGGAAAAAAAGCGGCTAGAAGTTATACCTCGCTGTAATGCGCACGATCGTGGGCTGCTACCGCAAAGCGTTTGTGTCGAAGAAGTTTCCTTGTCTCTTAGAAGCTTTAATGTCATGCCATGCACGATGTACGCCCGACGCTCATTGGAGTCGAGGATGTGTTCTGCCTTGAGGTGGAAGGGGCGGGGCAAGTTTTTTGTTACCACTGTTTGACCATTTTTTTAATCCCCTGTTTTGAAATCATCTCTCACGAGATGAACTGGTAGCGTCCAACCGTATGGCATTGAAATGGAGCTGCCATTCGGAAAGTGTCGATTCAAGGCGACAAAATCCACCCGGGAACCAGCATCGAACAATTATAGGTTGTGTTTTGGCAGTCAAAGCAAGAATATTGTGCTAAGCCAATTTCAGAGAGCAACACTTACAACACAAGAAATCTTGAGACTGTAAAAAAGGTTTGAACTATATAGAAAGTATCTTTAAGTACCGGTACTTTTGCTCTGTACTATTAGGCCTATAATAATGTTTAAGGTGTCCTATACTTCTCTCTACATGTTGAATGAGATTAAAAAGTTTGTCAGGCAAAGGAACATGGTTTACGTTTAAGAATGCCCTCTGAGAGTCAGTGATTGACGTTGCCGTGTGTATCTACGTCCAAACCTAGATGCCTACTTACATCTTGCTGAGTGTATATTGCTTCGAAGGATAAACTGCAAATATGACAAAGGTGTGAAACATGATATCACTGCTCCAATATTACAATAAGGAATGCAAGTCTCAAGTATGGAAGGCAGATCAGGGCAAATATTTCGACCTCTCGAATTCCCCTAAAAGGACTGGGTGTCAACTGATGGTTGGCAATGGGAAATCATCGGTTGCTACGCCGGGACAGGTACGAGATTTCCGCGGGTTGTTCGTTAGCCGAGCTGGCAAACATGAACTCCAAGACAAAATAAACCTTTTCGAGTCCAGGAAAAACAGAAAGAAGTAGAAGTCCCAGTTTGGAGGTCCCTTTGTACGCTGCGAGCAACTTTTCTTTCCAAGTTTGTGTACCAATCTGTTTTGGCACCTCGGTTTTCATTGTTGGAGCGGGTTTGCAACCGCAAACTGGCTACTTCAGAAAAAAAAAATTAGTGGGGAGAGAGCCCGGTGGAAAAAAGTTGGCAAACAGTGACTGTGTGGATAGGCGGGGTAGGATTTGGGTCATGGGGCTGATTGGACCAGGTGGCCGTTTGCTGAGAACTATTCTCTCTCCCCTGACAACCGAAAACATCCCGCTTCAAACCGCGACCTTGGCACGTCAGGCAAAGTTAATAGCCATTTTTTTGTGCAATTCACAATGTATACTTATGTTTGTATATAAAAAATATGTTTAAAAAAAGTGGGGGAGAAAGAAAAACGGAGGATATGGTTGACAGGAATGGGGGCAAACTAGCAACTCCTCAAATATTGGAGAGCGTAAACAAGAGAGCGTTTTCCTCCTGCAGTACAAAGAGGAAACAATGTCGGCCAGGGCTGGCGAATGTTTGGAAGGGGGCCGCTTAGTTGAGGCGTCCTGCGAGAACTATTCATTGTGAATGTCACGGTTCTCGTCAAGAGTTCCCCCAAAGAAAAAAAACACTATATTCCTCCCTGAAAGGAACTTCAGAAAACACACGCTAAAGCAACTTTTTTTTTTAAAGTGGGGCGTTTTATAACTATGAAAAGTCAGATGTGCCAAAAAAACAGGCGAAAAGAGTTTTCTGAAAAGGCTTTTGTGGTGCGATTAGTATTCAGCAAAAAAGCGCCAAACGAAAACATCCTTGAAGTAACTTCAGGGAATCAACTTGGAAACATGGAGGTGTTTTTTCCCTCGCTGCTGGTCTTGTCCTGGTTTTCCATGTAGCTATGGCCGTTTGGGGGTTCATGTTCGGGTCACTTCTTCGAGTTGTCCTCCTTCTGATTGATGTCTTATATTAGCTTTGTTGTTTTTATTCTCGTTCTGGATAAAATTATCTTCTCGTTTTAGACAATCATCTTTGTCTTTCTTCTAAACCAATACAGGAGGGGGGCTTTCGTGAATTTGGCCCAGTGATCATCTTCTGGAAGTCACCAGTTGATTATATGCCTGTGATTCATCGCTTGTAATCACACAGTATGTAAATCAATTAATATGAAACCACTCAGCGATAATTACCCAGCGGGCACCCAGATTTGTGTTAAATGTATAATTCCGAGCATGAATATGCAGAATCGATCTCCGCGCTCTTTTATGAATGCAAAACAGATTACAACAATCTTGAAACTTCGAGAGTCGCAGCATCAACCCCACGGCTTTCACTTACCACCGTCCGTGGCGGGAAACTCGAGTGACTCATCGAGAAGCTGAGGGGAAGAAGAAGTAGAAGTAGAAGAAAAAAAAACAGTGGTCTGGTCACGGACCACCATCGGCATGAACTGGCATGACGGTAATGACGACTGCACGGCAGTGAAGCGCCCCCTTTACCCGTCATGCCTTGCGGCACCGCTTCATATCCAACCATCCATGAATCAACAACTCGACTCGAGGGAGGACGGGGGGAGGGAATCGGGAACAATGTGCAAAGTGGTCGCAAGTGGTCATTTCTATGGCATGTCTCGGGGAAACCCCGGAGCAGAAGGGACTCCGTGAAAAGCAAGGGGAGGGGGGCTATTTTCTACCCCTATGGCTGTTATGATTTACTTTAAGATGACTGATTATTGTCGGCAGGGGGAGAAGAGGACTTCAAGGATTGACGCTCAGTTTATAGCCAAACTTGAAATGCCCTCGGCTATTTCTTGTTGCCGGCACTGGAAAGAAATAACTTTCTAGCTTTATTGTTTCATTCGCGGGATTGTCAAATTTTCAAATTTCTTAGGAGATAATGGATAGAGATATGAAAACATCTCGAAGCATAATCTCGATTCACTTTTTGTTTTCATAAAGGAGAACTTGTTGAGATTGCTGCGTGTTTTAGCACACAGGAAATAAATACAAAGTCCATTCAGGAATAAAGTCTCTGAGATATCCCACCAAATTCCCTGTAAAAATAAACACCATACCTTGAAACTTATCTCCAAGTATTTTTCTGCATGGTGTCTTCAAAGCTGTTGTAAAAGTTACATACGTTTCATTAAATTAATTACAAAACTTGTTAACTTGTCATTTGTGCCAGTGACTTATGTAAAAGACTGCTTGTATAGAGTTACTTTGTGTCTCTTTGGTTGAATTCAGGTAAAAAAAAGTTTGCAGCTGCTTTTCATTTCAAAGCCAGGCAGCCATCTGATACACTAAACTTGTCATTGGTTTGAGAAATTATCTAGGTACGAGCGATTACTGTCGAAATGCTAAACTTCCAACCAATTATAACATGCCGATATCTCTATCGCATCCACGCATCGGTGATCACTTGTCAACATTCATGGCGGAGTAGTTTCAACTATCAAGGACATAGTCTGCCGCCTCTCTGAGAAATACTGCGAGTGGATTGAATGCGCTGTCATAAATGGCAACATGCCCCCCTGCCAATGAAATTATGAGATTTAATCCCAACCCGCCCTCTCCACTACATGAATCACCTCAGGATTAGATTGCCGGAACTATTTTCCTATGTAGTCTTGTGTATGTTTTACACCCATAACTGACGTGCTTATCAAACATGTATAATGTCTTTAAAAGGTTAAAAGTGAAGAACAGTCAATTTCATAAAAGGGGAAACATTACTCTCATTTTAAACCACGATTATTCAGGCGAAATCTAGTTCCCACCCAACTACTTTTGGCATGTACACCTTTAACTTGGTTGCCGCTCTTTTTCCCCCCTGCCCCAGTGCCTGAAAGGGATAAAATGACGAGCGTCTGAAGTGAGACAAAGACGTGTCCACCAAAACACGTATGTAAATTAAGATATCAAAAAGCATGGAGCTTAAAGGAGGTAGGCTATAGGGAGAAAAGAAGAAGAAGAAAAAGACTGGCAAGAAAAAGGAAAATCGAAGGAACAAGGAGTCATAAATATTGATCTTGGGTTAGCGGGGGAAACCGGAAGTCCGCGGTAAGACAATCTGGACGACCGCGGGGCCCAGCCAGTATGTTTCACTGACGATACTGCAGGGGGTCATAGCAATTAAGAACGGATGCCCCCAACGTTGTTGAGATCCTTAGCAACGAACCCTGAAGAAACGAAGCAAATGCAGCCAGAGAAAGAAAGAGAGAGAGAGACAGAGACAGAGAGAGAGAGAGAGTCGGAAGAGGTGAGGGGCCGCGGAGAGAGAGTCGGGGAGACGGCAGGCAAAGAACCGAATGGGGGAAGTGGCAACTTTTTTTCTCGTCAGTCACCCTCGCTGGATGTGGTGGAGCGAGTCCAGACCGCTTTTAGCCCTGTATCGGGTATCCCCGCTCCCTCGTCGGGTGTCCATGTGGCTGGCTCAGTCCAGTTAGGGTAATACCTTCTTCAAACAAGATACAGCATTAATAGTTTCTCGGACACGTGCACCGCGTTTATTGTTAGGTCTGGCTTCCAACGGGGTACGAGAGTAATAAGTTCACGGTGAGAAATGCGCCCGGCTTCTTTAAGTCTCCCCGAGTGCAGGCGCTTCAGAGCTAGAGGGGCTGGACACCGTTTGACAGTAATCATAGCCTATTGTTTGCGCGCTATTTCAATGGCCCACCCCGGCCACGTGGGCTGATCGAGTAATTAGGAAATTGTGCTGAAATGGTTTCCAGTCTAGATCAACTATTTTCTTCCTTCAGTTCCTGCTGCGGGCACCTGAGAGAGCGGACCAAAGTCTGGCAGTGTTCCCACAAGATCGTCTGGGTAGGCCCTCTTCTCGGTTACTATACTCTCACACCGGGGATAAACCCCACCTCAGCCCACGCGAGCGAGCAAGCGTGTTTGTATTATCAAGATCGTTTTTTGTCCCCTATTTTCCACATTCCTGGTTCCATGACGACAAATTCATCTTTCGGAAAAAAGTCCGAAGGAAAGAAAATCCCTGTCTCGGATTTCTTTTGGAGCCGAACACTTCTCGCTTCCGCTCGGCTGCTATCCATTCACGTTTCGCATGTATAATTTATTATGAATAATTCTTGTACAGTTGCGTCTGCGATATTTTCTTACGGAGTCCCAGCTAGACCCCCGTCTTCTTCTTTTCTGCGCCCCGCGGCCAGGTCTCGGTGCGACTGCGTTAATGCCGAGCGATATTATTTTTCTTGGCCATTCTAGAGCATAATGGCCGCTGAGGGCTAAGCCGATTCCGGGCTACCAAACTCCTCTTTCTTTTTCGTTTCACAGCACACTCATCTTGTCTTGTGGTTTTTAACTTCGCTCTCTGTCGCCCCCTCCCCTGGACACACCTTTCTTCTCCAATCCCCTTGGCTATTCTCCACGGGTTCCCCTCACCATCTACATCAATTAAGTCGCCGAATCTGGGCCGAGGATAAAAGGATGTTTGAGAGACCCCTCCACTCTTGGAGGGTGTGATTTCGAGCCGTTGAGGGCTAAGTCAAATTTTTTTCCCTCCAGTTCTTTCTTTCTCCCTCCATCCACCCCTTCGTCGGTGGTAATGGGGTGTTTTTTTCGGCTTATGTGGGTGCCCTTCATTACGGATGAGGGCCCGTAGAATCCGATATTGCGCTCCGGGGGACCAGTTTATGCAGATCACCAGCTTCAATCTTGTCCTATTAATAACTGGCTATTGTTATAGCTCTGCCGGGCAAGACGGGAGTGAGTTGTTGTTATTGTAAATGGTTGTCTTGTTTTGGGGGACCCAGGGGGCGGGGAAATTTGATAATCTGCATCCACATCAAAATGGGAGTATAGTCCATGGTATGGAAATTGTGCCCTAATTTCATTCTCGGTAACTCATAAATATTTGTCTCTTTGTGTCTGCAGTCTGTTCCATGCTGTTCATGCAAATTGACTTTTAAACAAAATCTGTTATACCTAAAGTGTTTCCTCAAAAACTGTTCCATTTTTTATTTTGTAAGTTCAACAAACATGACTTTAATGCATCCTGTTTGTCTAATGACACCTACTGAAGATAGCAAGCCATGATGTGTAACGAGCATCCAAAATGTCAGTTGAAAGCGCCCGATAATTACCATTGTTTATCAAACGGGAGCGACAAATGGGTCTATGGCCCGCCTTCAATTAAAACCATTCGCCGTGATCTGAAATGGCGCGTAGACAACGACTGTTTAACGCCCGGGACGGTTGACATTTTCAATTAGTTTGCAATCAGATTATGGCGCTTGTTGCGCCGGTTATTGGATTCAAGTCCAGGCGATTTAATTCAATTTACTGCCTTGTAATTCCCCGACTGTCCTGCCAACATTAGAGTAGGTGTTATTGATCAAGATGATTAGCTCTGTCAATGTGATTTCCCCCCCTTCTCGCTGTTTTTTTTAATACCCCCATCAAGCCTGTGCATGAGTAAAATCATTTAGAGTTGTTCCCCCTTGATGCGGCCGCCTGCCCCGGCCGAGCGCCCGAGATGGTGAGCAAGAAGAAACGTGTTGCATTGGTGTAATCAATTACCCCAATATCCTAGCTACATTGAATGTGTGAGCAATTCACTTTTCTCTTCTGTCTTTCCGACCACCCCCCCCCCTCCTCGGTGTTGACTCGGCTGAAGGAAAGCGAAGAAGTGTCAACATTAAAGGAGTCAATTCGCCCTCCGAGCCAATTTCCTGTTTCGCTGAGTGTGGTGTTGTCGGGAGGGGGCGAGTATGCGGGGGGGGCTCGTCATGTTTTCCGTTGGTGTCTTCTCAGCGATTGGACGGACCGCGGTATAGGACTGGGGCCGCGTGCTCGGCGTCATTACCCGGGCGAGCGGGTTGCCTTGGGACTACTCCTGGGCCTGAGCCGCGCGCTGAGCCCCCTATAATAACAAACCCGCCGCGGTCAAATGTCGCCGGCTCGATCACGTATCGTGCCCGCGAGAATGGCCGCGGCGGACTCTGTGTTGACACGCGAGGAAAGTGCAACAGCTCTCGATGTGCAGTGCCTTTCGGGGTCCGCGTGCCCAGTTGCAATCAGTTTGTGAGGAGAGCCACTCACATGAGCCAGACTTTTATATTAAAACCCATACTTCTGCCCACGAGGTAGACAGTACAAAAAATGTTCAGTCATTTTCTTGAGTTTGTGTTCCCAAATAAAATCTTTTTGTTAGGACATGGTAGCGGCCTGGTCCCACGCACAGCGAGGCATGGGTCTAAACCCTGATGATCAAGTCATAGAGAGGATATGAGATGAGTTTCGAAAAAGAAGGAAAAGGCAGGCACTTACCCAAGTGTTTAATAATGTGGACCCATTAATAACCACTCCTCACTACTACAATCGCATTTTCCCCCTCCAACAAGGCTCCACAAGCACACCATATACACGCATCCTTTTCCAGAAATCACCCGCACCAACGCAAGTTAAGGATAAGATCGTTATGATTATTTTCTAGTTGAGACGAGTTTCACTTGTTGATGACTCAGATTGGTTTGGATTTCCACAGCTCTCTTTAACTTGTGACGTCTGAAATCGCTCTTCACGCAGATTGTGTTTTAAAAGGCCGGCGCTATTTGTGCGAGTCATAAACAGCTCCCATGTAAAGCCAGTCAGTTGTAAATAGCTCTCACATCGATATGAATCTTCCAAACTTCCAGTGAGTTAATGCCTTCCGGGAATTTATTAAAAAGATGTCATTACTTTTTCAAGATTTCATTATTGGCTTTGCAAATAGGGCTTAATCTTAGGGTGAGGCATTTTCAAGGCTCCCTCCATCTCCACGATTGCAGCAGTAATGCGGTGTATGGACCACGCTATACACGCTCAAACCTAAGTTCCGTCTCTGCGGATGTTCCGTTATTTGAAATCCCTACCCCCCAAATGCATGAAACCTCGGATCACAACACCAGTGTTGAGATGTTTTGCCATTCGTACCATAAAGTGCAGGGCTTCCCGCCAAAAAAAAACTGCCACGAAAACAGACATGAGCTGAGGCCTTCGAAATGATAGTTCAACGGCCTCTGTGGGCGCTCAAGATTGCATGAGACTGTCAAGGTGCCAAGACAATTTCTACAGGAAAAGTTCTGTCCTTAGGTGTAGGATGGTGGATTTACTTTTTTTCAGACGCTTTGCTATGGTGTGGCATTCCTGTACATCAATCTGTCAGTATGTTATTTTTTGTGTTGGTTTTGGCGTTTTGTTTTCATTTTCACTGCCTGTAACGAAACTACCATGACTTTTTTTTTGGTTCAGAGTGTCTGTCAAAGGGAAAAATCCTTGACACAGTTTCGAAGTCCCTTTTCAAGGTTCTCCTTCCCGAATAATTCCCACCACCCTCTGCGTTCCGATCCTCCGCAGAGACACTCCGGAACCCCTTTGCATCACTCTTACTTCCGTCCCCGACGAGTTGTTTTCCTCAGTCTCCGGGTATTTCATCCCCGGCACGCCAAAAGAAAAATCAGATTCCCGAACCCGAGTATAGAGAGCCACCCACGACTCGCTAAACGGTAACATCCCTTCGCACCACGGCAATATCTCAACATTTCTTCCAGCAAAGTTCCATCAATGCATCCCTCTTCCATCTGACCCAGATCGACCTCATCAAAAAGGTGTGACTTTTTTTCTGTTCAATTTCTCGTACTTTTATTTTCCCTGTACCTAAATCACCACTCGGTGACATGTCAGCACCGTCCCGTCAAGTAGCTAGCTGACAACCCGCCAGTCGCCTCGTTGTTTTTAATCCCCGCGGTTCTGTTTATTTCAACTTTTTTTCCCTTGCCTAAGCACTCTCTCGGTTCTTGCTACTTTTGTTCCCCCTCCGGACGTGAGTTGGGACCAGATGCGAAGTTTGGTTGAGTGAATGTTTAAGAACTTAAGATCAGCGGGTCCAGCTGCCGTTGCGACACCCTCCTCGTCGGAATCTCGCAGAGTACGTTGAAACATTCTCATGGAGTCGAATTAAAATCACCAGCCGAAATGGGGTTAAGTGGGAACACATTTCACGACCATTCCAACACCGCATTGCGACATACTTCCAACCTCTCATCATTCTTAGACTGCCTTGAAGTTTTTTCTATGGCAGGTTTCGTATCACTAAATCGGCCAAAGTCATAATGGGTGGGATTTTTTTTTAATGTTTGAGTAAATCACTGTATGAGGTGGATCATACTCACAACAAACGGGGAATAGCAGCAGACACTTGACTCAATTGTATTGAAGGCATGCGCAAATTTTGGTCTCAAATACTTTGGTTGTCAACCGTCCGCGATGTCACAGAATCAAACACCGGAAAAATATTGCAATCAAAACAACTCTTTGCACTGTTTGACAAAATATTAGCGGTAGCTTAACGAAACTTGAACTAGTTCAGCATACTCAAAGCTCAGAGGGGAATAGACAAAAATTGGGGTGTGTGCCAAATATGGTCAACTAATGAGGGCGCTGTATTCTGTTGCTCAGCTGGCAATGACAGACCCTCAATATGCTCACAGAAGGCAAAAACTCCATTGCTGCATCATTCAACGATGACTTTTCCTTCTCAGAAAAGTTAAGTGAAATTTGAGCATTTAAACAGTTGTCGCGAAACGTCCAGCAAGGAACAGTTTCCTTGCGAGAGGAAGAAACGATACGGGGGTCGAGGCAATGAATTTTGTGCCAGCGATTTATTCTTCTGTCAACGACAGACTGTCAAAACACCGAGCAAATCCGATGCGCTTCGCCAGGCGAGCGGAGAGCGATCCCAGGGATAAATAAATTTTGGCCGGGCCTCCATCGTCGCACGGACTTGTGTCGGTGCTGCACGGTCCTCGAACAAATATACAGTGTGGCAAGGGGTTATTTGGATTTCCGTTAGTTAGGACCGTGCAGAATGCCATGTAACATGGGATTCTTTTAAGAGACGGCTGGAAGCTGGTACACGTTTTTGGCCTAGATTTTTCTTCGTATGATGATGATGATGATGACAAGTGTTGTGAGAAGAAACTTGGGCAGTATTTTGGCAAACTGAGCAGGCATGACGAGGACAAGGAACATGGGGGTGGAAAAGTGCGCGGTCCGGGCGCAAGTAGGCCAAGCGTTAAAGTGTGAAAATAAGACCCTTGTTGATTTAATCGAATGCCGGAGAGTGCACAGAGATGAACAGTTGGATTATGTCGTCGACCGAGAGAGAAAGCCGAGAAAGTGCACCGTCAGCCATCGGGATTTCAGATGTCGTGTTGTCAGTTAAAACTATGAAAGGGGGACTTGTCTGGAAAGATCGCCCTGAAATTATCGGAATACTGCTCATGGTTCACCATGCAATCGCGGATATAATTTGTCGTGCGACATCGTGACGTCAAAGGGGCTGCTTGGCGCTTAAAGTCCATCACACTCCGGTTCACACACACACAAAAACTGAAGTTGATTGGAACAGACATTGCTGCTCATGTTCGATGACGCAAAACGGCACTTTGGACCGGCTGGCATGAGGCTGCGCAGTGGCGCCCCCAAAAGCTCAAGATTCTCAACACTCCCCCCCCCCTTCGCCACTCTTAAATCAGATCTAATAGTTTAATACATAGGTGTATATTATATCTTCGTTTTTCAGAAAGTAAATAAAAATCAAAAATCTCGTGAAGGGGCTTATACCCCACCCTGAGCTGGATGCGCAACTGAGGCTGTGCTGAAAATGTCCAGAATTGCATCTATATTCATTCATCAGGGAGGAGTGGGACAATTCGTCCTAATCTTATACTTCTTGCGCATGTGTATCGTAAAGTTGGGCAAACCGGTCACGTCACAAGAAACCCATTACTTGCAATCGAAAATATATGCAGTAGTTGAAAAACCTTTTCAAACGATGTGATAAAAACTGGTTTCGAACGGAACTCCTCATGTTGACCGTTGAGGGTGGGTTTAGGGATACTTCTCGCTGACTGAGGGAAACCGGGATAGTTCTAAGGGAGTTTTGAGTGGTAAGGGCTTTCCTTAAGTTATCCGGATGGTAAAACTAGACCAGCTCTTTCAGTTGATTACACTAATTAACTTTTTTTAGTTTTTAGGCAAACTCTACGTCTGATGAGTCACGTATAAGCAGCAGAAACACAGTCATTGCATGACAGCTGACTTTTGCCGATGCCTTGATCTTTGTAGCTTCAATCAAAGTTGGATTCTTCCTACTGTAAATAATTTTCAATCGAGGATTATACCTTTCAGCTTTACATGTTCGTCGAGCAATTCCCGACGAGTTAGACCAGCGACGACGTGAATTTTTAACGGAAGGACTGGCAGCAAGTTTAACCTGTTCGAAAGATGTCAAAATCGGGCGTTTTTGTGCTGTCCTCGCAGGTTCCTTCGATTCGCCAGTCACAACATACATCGATTTTACGTATCCAAGGTTATTCTCCCCGAATTATATCAATTTCTCGTCACTTTCCCCGGCAGTGGCTCGTTTTGGGTTGCCGATGATGACGTCGAGTCGAATCGAAAGTGCCGGCGGGGGAAAAATGTTATTTTCCCCCTCCGCGTGCAACAACAGGCGAAGGCGAGGCAAAGCATCAAGGCCCGGCCTGTGTATGGAGTGTGAATTCCCCCGCTTGCTGGCCGCTTGACAAGTGACAAGCGGACACCTCAATCCGTGTCACTTGTCTCGGGCGCAGCTGGCCTCGCTGAAACAGAGGCCACCTCGGCTCTCGGATCGAGACAAACCCCAGAAGGGAAAGGAACGGAGAAGAAAAAGCACACGGCCCAACCCTGCACTCGTCACGTCGGACTCTCGCAATCCCCAGTTAAAACCATGTTTGTTTTTTCGTGCCCGGCCAAGCAGCCAAAATCGGCGCGAACATGACATGAGAGCTTTTTGGAAATCACTTCATACTTCCTCGCCAAAGGATCGGTGTGCGGTTACGACTTCATAATGAAAGACAGAAGAGGTTTTTTTTTTTTTGGAAAGGAGACGAAAGGAAAATATAGACAAAACTTGTACTTCTTCCTCTTTTCCATTCCCCTTTTTTAACCAAGTGGGGTGTAGGGAAGGGATATTAAAACATTGTGAAATCTATTGGTAAAGGTAGTGTAAACAAAAATAAACAGCGGGATAGACAGGAGGAGTGCAAGGGACGCGCGGTGCAATTTGACGGATTACCGATGACACGCAACGCCTGACAAAAATAAGCCACTCGGGCTTAATTGAATAAAAAGTTATCAAATTTTACACTGATGGAGCAATCCATCACGGGGCCGTCAGGCAAGGAATTGGACGGGTTGAAATTGCTCTAAAATGCGGTCCCGGTCCCCCATCATTCACGCCCGGTCTGAGTGTTCCGAAGGCGTTGTCTTGAGGAACCGCGAGAGCCCTCGAACGGAGCAAAACAGTTC